TTGCTTAGAGTAAATTCAAATCTCAATTTCTAAGCTTAATATATTTCCAGTAATTATTCTTCTGGAAAAAGAAATACTTGAGAAACAAATCCCACGGTCATCACTCCTGTCTCATTCTACATCAGAGCAGCAACGCTGGATAAACTGAAGTTGGAAATCCTGACTCACAGGCTCCTCTCTTTCTGTTAAATGTTGGTGGCCCTTTGGGACCATCCTCAATCCACTTCTCACTGTAACACTGATTTCAGAACACCGTCTTTGTGTCACTCCTGGGCCTGACTGATCCAAAATGCTAATTCTTGACCCTCATGCTTGACTGCACTACAAACTCACAGCGCATGCTGGCTGCTGTTCCCACTCTTCCCACTTGGAGAAGGGCAATGGCATTTAGCCAACGACCTCAGCTCAGGGGAAAGACCTCAATGTTCTGAATTCAGCATTTTTACTCAATTCTGCCACCAACACCAAGGACAGAGCTCCTGGGCTTTTCTGGGTAGTTGTTCTCACGTTGCATGAAGAACGGTGAGTGGTTACGCTCCTTTCTCTAGACATGAACAGGAAGCGTATTTCCCTGGCTGCTGGCAGCTGTTTTCCAACCATGAGGAAAGAAATCTGAGGGCAAATCAACATAGGGAGCTCAGTCCTGTCCCTGAAGCTCCGGGCACTCAATCACGTGAGCCACGGTGATTCCCTCGTGTTTCAGCCGGTCTGTTTCTACTACCTGAAGCTGAAAGCAACCCGCCAATAACAAATATGCAAATTACTAAGAGTTACTAATTTGATGTGTAAAGTAAAATTAGAGTTTTCAGACTACACTAAGGATTTGTTTTCTGCTAAAAAGTGGCTGCCACATAATGTTTGGCAACTTTGCAAAACTCCTATTATATGTGCACATCTTGGACAAAATGTGGTCTTTTGATTTGTACATGATGGTGTTAAGTTACGGATTTCAGTCTCAATTCTATTCTTTCTGCACATCTATTTAGCTCTTATAATTTTCTACACCATCATAAAACCAAAATGATTCCACAAGATGTCGGGCCAGCTAAGCCACCACGTTAATACACTCTCGGCACCGAACACACCATGGGAACCCCCACCATGCTCCTATGGGCCTTTCAGCCCTGGCAGTTTCTGCTCCTTCAACCCAAGATGCTTCTGCCCAGGTGGCTTCTTCTGGCTGTTTAAGTCTCTGTCTGAATGTCATCTCCTCAGCAAGACCTTCCCCAGCTATTGGTCTAAAAAGCATCTCCCTTCTCAAGTTACGATCATGTCACCCTACTTGGTTCTCTCTGTTCTTTCCATTTTAAAACGTGTTTACTTGCCCCACCTATCAGTCCTACTCATTACGGCAACCTTAGTGCTTGCAGAACCTGACAAGTGCTCAAAACTATGTGTTGAATGAATGAATGATGGCTAAAGACTCAATAAATATTAGATCAGGGACATCAGTGTTAAGGCTACAATAAAACTCCTCGAAAGAAACTATTTCCAAAAGAGGAATATGTACTGAGAGCGCACATCTATTGATTTTGAATAAAGGCAGCCCCCCTAACAAAATCCTACTATACTTCTGATAGCATATTTAAATTTCAGCAGTTAAAATATGTTTTTTATTAGCAAATACTTCTTTTATAAAGTCAGGGCCATAAGGGAGAAAGAGTGGCTTCTGATTTGTGGTGTTCTTGGCCATTTAATTAATACTAATCTCCATTTTACTCATTCTCTTTGTTTCTCCTAGATTAGCATGGGTTCTCAGAAAATAAATTTAGAACTGTCTTCTAGTTAATTGATGTGAAATCTGAGAACATTATGAACAGAAATTCCAGATTCCCACTATAAATCCAGACTGATATTTAGGATCTTGGTAAATGGCGGTAAACTCAGTTAATAACTAAGTTAAAACTTGCTCAGCAGCCTATAAATAGACACAAATCTTTTAAGAAACTCAGCCATTCCAAATCACATCCCAGGTACCGACTGTGCCTCTGAACTCTGCGAAATAAGACGAATCCTGCTGGGAGTCCTTCTGAGATTCCAGCTTCTCTTTGAAAAATCCTGAGTAGGAAGTCAATTCCTCTATTAGCCGTGGTTGAACAAGACAGCACATTATTTCAGGAAACTGATGAATCATCTATGTGTTAGTCAAGCGTTTACTATGTTCCAAAGTGTTAAAACGGGTGTGCAGAGTTTACTTAGATTTACCCACGTTACCAATCCCTTTGCTCACCATTCTCTCTTCCATCCTCAGTCTTTCCTCTTGAGTTCAAGATCCTTTCATAAGGACAGCCTCTAAAATTTTCTTTAGCTTAGGTATGATGGGAGCCAATTCCGTTTTTTATTTGTGGGAAAATGCACTTCATCTTTATTCTTGAATAAAAGTTTATCTGGGAAAAAATGTTTAAGCTGATCATTATTATTTCTCAGCATTTAATAAGCTTGCTATCTGTAGGCTTCCATTGTTACTGAGTACAGGGAAATGGGGCCTCATTATGAGCAATTGTCTATTCCTTCTGTTTCCTTATTAAGACATCCTTCATATTTTATTTTCTGAAGTGTCATATAATACATCTAGGGGTAGAATTTTTATCTATCCAGCGTGGAGTTTCATTGTGTTTCCTGAAGCTGAGAACTCCAGCCTTTTGTCAATTCTAGAAAATAGTCAGCCAGTATGTATTTGAATTGATAATAGCTAAGGACTATATTCTCGCTGGAAGTCCAATTAGATTCATTTTAAACCTTCTCATTCTATCCTTGATATCTCCCAACTTCTCTTCCACATTTTATCTTTCATCTATAACCTATAACTAATTTATAACTGCTGCTACATCTAGTTCATTTTCTGAGCCTTGTCATCAATCCATTCTTCAAAAAGAGTCCAACCTACTTCACTTGTTCACTGAGTTTCTATAATTCAGTGACTATTTCCTTCCTTTCTACAAATTGCTTCTTTGACAAATCTGCCTCCTCATTGTTATGCTTTGTTCTTTGCCCATGTTTTCAAACCCTCTTTTATTATTAAAGTCTTTATAACTTTAATACTAAACCTGATTGATTCGAATACTCTGAAGTCCTTGCCGGGGGAGAGGGTCTACTTCTATTGTTGGTTGTTTTGCTGCAAGTCTGATGTTGGCTGGCTCCCTCCTAGGTTCTATAATTTGGGATTCAACTCATATTTGGAAAACTAACCTGAGGAGCCTGGGTTGCAGGTACATTCCTTCAGGAGGGTCACACGTCTGCCTCGGCCCCACCGGAGCACTTCTGGCCCAGGATGGCTTTTATTTATCTATCTATCACTAAATGAAGTAGATGACCAAACTTCAGCCTGAGCCACTGAGTAAGTTGTGGGGCTACAGAGGAAAGTACAAGAAGGGAAAATGTGAGGTGAAGGGACAAGGATAAGTCTGGATGTGTTGAAGTCAATGTGCCTATGGGAGAGTTCTGCAAATAGCCGAATTTACAGGTCTGGGATAAAAGGGAAAGGTCCCTATCTTCTCCCTGATCAAAGTATCCCCGCACACACTGCCTCACTCCAGAATGATCCCACACACCAGGCCACCCTCCACTTCAAGCATAGACTGTCACCTCTCTCCCCACCCAAACCATAGTGACTTCAAAAACTGTCCTACAGACAAAATGCCAAGGATCTCTATGTCTTCAAGCTTGGACTTTTCTTTATTCAAGTCATGAACTAAATCTTCCTTACTCACTTTTTTATTAATCAATCACCTTGCCTAGTGTGCAAAAGAGTGTCTGTAAGAGAGAAATACAGTGAAAAAAGATGCAAGATACCTAGAAAAGAAGAGCCTTGCCAACAGTTTTATTGCAACATCTAATCCAGCGGTTCTCAATCTGTGGGTCGCGACCCTTTTGGCGGTCAAACAACCCTTGCACAGAGGTTGCCTAAGACCATCCTGCATGTCAGATATTTACATTACAATTCATAACAGTAGCAACATGACAGTTATGAAGTAGCAACAAAAATAATTTTATGGTTGGGTCACAACATGAGGAACTGTATTTAAAGGGCCAGAAGGTTGAGAACCACTGTTCTAATCCAAGCAAACGTCCATTTCTCCTTGCTGCCTCTAGGCTGGGGGGAGACACAAAGCATGGAGCAGGCCAGTGCCATCTGAGGTTCCGGACTGCACAGCGAGAGGAGATGCTGGAGCTAGACTCACTTGAGCTAACTGCGCACACAGGTGTTCACCGGGCGGTGGGTGATGACATTATAAATGCAGGCTTCTATTTCCCGGGGGCCTTTGTTACCCCTGGTGCTAGGTCACTGTTTCTGAACCTCTGCGCTGCTGACATTTAGGGTTTGTTATGAGGACTGTCCTGTGCACTGTCGGATGTCTAGCAGTGACCCGAACCTCTGACAATTAGATATCAGTAGCACTCATCTCCCCCCAATCATGATGATCAAAAATGTCTCCAGCCATCAAATATCTCCTGAGGGACAAGTTGTGTTATTTGAGGACGCTTCTCTAACACCCTCTTTTCTGAGCTTCCCTTTCCAGCTCTGAACTCTCCTCTTCAACTAATCCTGGCTCCTGGAAGGCTCTTCGACACTCGGCGGACCCATCCTCTATTATCCAAGCAACTCTTACCCCCGTTCCCTAGATCTCTGCACCACAGTCCCGTCCCAGGATTCGTGATGTATGGATGTTCTCATGCTGCTCGGAGGTGTTCTCACTGGGTGCACTGCAGGGGCTCTCTGCTCTTCGAGTCCAGGTCTGGTTCTCTAAGTCTTTCCGAGTCCTAGCATTCTTCCACTTCACAGCTAGCATTTCCTGGGCCCTTCCTTACTGTGGTCCAATAACTGTCCTTAGCACTTTGCATGCATTATCCACAAAACAGTCAATTCACAGATGAGGCAACCAAGATGCAGAGTGGCAGGGAGCCCAGGAATGAAACGCAGGCGTCTGGCTCTAGAACTCACTCTCAACCCCCAGACTACCTGCCTCCCAAATGCTGATAAATAACTGCAGCTCTGCCACCTACTCGGGATTCCATCACCTGGGATCATAGGCAATCGCAAGGCTTTATCTGTTTTGTATTTCTTGTCCTTTTGTTTTTCCTATAAGAGCATACCAAAAACAAACTAGTGAGACGCACGTTTTGTACAGACCAGCAGTTTCCTGTCTGGCAGAGGTGACAGAGGACATTTTATGAGGCCAACACAAGGGCCTGCAACATAGTTTCTCAACAAGTAACTAGGTGAATGAATGCCTAACACATCTGAATTTTTGTAATGATGCAGACGGAAGTGTTTCCGTTCGTTTTCCAATCCTTGGCCATCCCTCTTCTGGACCATCCTTTACTGAAGCACTGTGTCCAAATCTACAGACTGAAAACAAGACAGGTGTGTGGCCCAGTGGTTGAGCATGGAACCAGGAGGTCTCCAGTTCAATTCCTGGTCAAGGCACATGCTCAGGTTGTGGGCTGATCCCCAGTAGGGATGTGCAGGCGGCAGCCAATCGATGTTTCTATCTCTCTATCCCTCTCCCTTCCTCTCTCTCTAAAATCAATAAAAACATATTTTCAAGAAAATAGAGATCATTATGTACAAGAGTGGGAACTTTTTTTTGATGTTTCCAATAAACTTTCATTTAAAATCCAGAACTAGTCTTTTGGCCACAGTATACCAATCTGTCCTTTTCAAATAATAAACAACTTTTAAATTTTCTTCCCTACTAATAGCTTGAAAACCATAATCCTACAAGTGTAGAATGGAATATTTTCCCCAAGCCCATTATTTTAAACTTGTACATTATAGCTTTGTGCATTTCTCCTTATTCAGACAATTGCAGTCACAGATGCTATGCTACTAGGGCAGCACTCCCCAATGCTTTATACAAATTCTAAGATAGGTCTAGAAATGGACCTATATATCACTTACTAGAGGCCCAGTGCACGAAATTCGTGCACAGGGGGTGGGGGGTGGGGGTGGGGATTTTGTCCCTCAGCCCAGCCTGCACCCTCTCCAATCTGGGACCCCTCGAGGGATATCCGACTGGACTTCATGTCCACAGACAGTCAGACATCCCTCTCACAATCCAGGACTGCTGGCTCCCAACCCCTCGCCTGCCTGCCTACCTGATTGCCCCCTAACCACTCCCCTGCCAGCCTGATCGACGCCAAACTGTTCCCCTGCCAGCCTGATTGCCCTTAACTGCCCTTCCCTGCTGTCCTGGTCACCCCTAACTGCCCTCCCTTGCCAGCCTGGTCGCCCCCAACTGCCCTCCCCTGCAGGCCTGGTCACCCTTAACTGCCCTCCCCTGCCGGCTATCTTGTACCACATGGGAGTGGCCATCTTGTGTTGAAGTGATGGTCAACTTGCATATTACCTCTTTATTATATAGGATGTTTCTTCATCTAGACCAGACCCCAATGCAGACTAACAACTCCACCCTCCTCCTACAGCAAACATGCCAAACTCATAGCCCCCAGGCTGCATGTGGCCCACAACAAATATTTTTGTGGCCCAGCCAATACAACAGTATGTAAGAAATGTTTTAATACATATTTCATAACTTAATTTTTACAATATCCTGTAATGTACTTCATGTCCACAGACAGTCAGACATCCCTCTCACAATCCAGGACTGCTGGCTCCCAACCCCTCGCCTGCCTGCCTACCTGATTGCCCCCTAACCACTCCCCTGCCAGCCTGATCGACGCCAAACTGTTCCCCTGCCCGCCTGATTGCCCTTAACTGCCCTTCCCTGCTGTCCTGGTCACCCCTAACTGCCCTCCCTTGCCAGCCTGGTCGCCCCCAACTGCCCTCCCCTGCAGGCCTGGTCACCCTTAACTGCCCTCCCCTGCCGGCTATCTTGTACCACATGGGAGTGGCCATCTTGTGTTGAAGTGATGGTCAACTTGCATATTACCTCTTTATTATATAGGATGTTTCTTCATCTAGACCAGACCCCAATGCAGACTAACAACTCCACCCTCCTCCTACAGCAAACATGCCAAACTCATAGCCCCCAGGCTGCATGTGGCCCACAACAAATATTTTTGTGGCCCAGCCAATACAACAGTATGTAAGAAATGTTTTAATACATATTTCATAACTTAATTTTTACAATATCCTGTAATGTATAATCTATATATATAAAACCCTAAGCGACCAGCCAACCGGCCAGTAGCTATGATGTGCACTGACCACCAGGTTGCAGACACTCAACGCAGGAGCGGAACCACAGGCATGGCAATATGAAACAGACTAATGAATATCAGAGGGAAGAGGGTGAGAGGGAAGGAAGAGGTTAACCCAAGATCTTATGCATACTAGAGGCCCAGTGCATGTGCACCAGTGGGGTCCCTTGGCCTAGCCTGCAGGGATCAGGCCGAAACCGGCTCTCTGGGTCCCGGATTGCGAGAGGGAACAGGACAGGCTGAGGGACCCCATGCACTGGGCATCTAGTGATTAATAACAAGCTATAACGTTCGCTAATGACTAATTACTATAATCGTATTGCATTCATTTCCCTTATGTGCCTTACGTGCAGGTATACCATTTCTCTCCACTAATACTAGCATCGAATATTTTAGCAGCCGACTGCCACATCATTAGTGTTGTATCAACTTGTTTGGTGTGCACAACAGGAAATATTTCGCTTTTGGAGAACAAGAAAAATAGGGTTATTTGTGTTACGCTTATTATTTGTGCAGTTATTCCGTGTCTGGTAAGTTAATGTTTAAGAAAAAAATTGATTTTTATTAAAATGTTCTATTATTTGGTTAACAATTACTCATTTATTTCAGTCCTTTGTATTCAGCGTGTCTCTATTGAAATAAACCTATATTTCTATGAAAATTGAAGCTTTTGTTTTTTTGCACCCATATAAACTTAAACCTTGTTTATTTGGCCCATGTTAGCCTTTGCGTTTGACATGCTTGTCCTACAGGGATGTGATCTTAACACGTTTACAGCACTTAGCTTGGTGGATGGGGATGGGGGACACTACATGAATGCTGTGGATCAGATGATTGCATTAATGTTACCTGGCACATTAGAAGCACTTAATAGCGCTGAGTCCCAGGTGTCCCTGCTCTACTGCTACAACACTGAGCACAGGAGCCAGTGCACATGGACATTTTATAACAACAGTCCTCTGCAGGAGGATGGCTTAAAACCTAGGAAACTGACGATTTAGCACAATTAATTTCAGGGAAGGGTCAGAAAGAACAATGACCTTTCCCTTTAGGCTAAGTTAGAACTTAAAGATTGAGGCTGTGGAAAGAATACGCAAAGGAAACCATCTCAATGACACATGAAGATCAAGCGTTCATAAAAGCCTACATTAAAATAAGTTCAAACAAAGCAAAGCAAAAGTGATTTGTGACACACCCTGACCCTCACCTTAAAAACACTAAGGGTCATGTAAAAGCCCAATGTCAACTATCTTTTCAAGGCCCCTAAGAAATTCTATCTCTGGCAGGCACAGGCACAGAACAACCGACTGTACAATGTTCTGTTGAGAGCAGAATTAATGACACCATTGACTAGAAAAAGCGCTGATTCCTGATGAACAAACACAAGAGCACAGAAAACAAACTTGTTAATGGCAAACATTCCTAGTCTTAGGAAAAGCTATACTGCTCACTCTAATGTACTGCAGGCAATCCTCTACGACAGCAAACTTGTTCTGTAGAGCAGCGGTCAGGGGACCACTGGTTGGCAACCGCTGGTGTAGAGGGCAGAAATAACCACGTTAGTCTTCATGAATCTCATCACAACTGCTCCACTCTGCCCGGCAGCACAAGAGCAGCTACAGCCAGTACCTAGGTCACATGGAAACATACTAGGGCAGCACAGAAACATACTTAGAGAACGCAGAAACAAGTGGGTGTAGGTGTATCCCAATAAAATTTTACTGATAGACACAGAAAGTTGTATTTCATACCATTTTCATGTGTCATGAAATACTATACTTCTTTTTATTTCTTCCCATTAAAAATGTAAAACTCAGTCTTGACTCCTGGGCCATACAAAACCAGAAAGCACGCGGAGTTGGCTGGAGGACCGCCATGCACTATCCTCCCTGCATTATTCCCAACAATGTCTATAGAAACAAGCCGCAACAATCTATTAAAGTTTGTTTCAAATATCTTGATGTTTCATTCATTTCTCTTCTCCATCCCCAGTTCCAGGCCTTCCACAGACACTTTCTGAAGTCTGGCTCATCAGACCCCTCCCCTCTTTACCCATCTCCCTCCCCAGAGTACAGCTTGCAGTCCCTTGGATGATTTTTAATCAAAATCTAACCATGCCAGAAAAAAAAGCTGCCCATTGCCATTTTTTACAAACCCTACTTCCCCGAACTGGTGTGAAGCTCTAAATGTGTACACACTCAATCTTTCAGTAAACTCAGGTCTGGCCATCGCACTGCGCTGTTCCCTTGCAGCTGTCATTTGAGTCTAATTCTACAGTGAGGCCCGTGGGGGTGCAGCAGTGAGGTTGCCTATTGCGAAGGCCGGTTTTAGTCACAAATACATTTCATGTTTAAAATCTTGCCAGTAACTGTTCAAATGGCTTCACAGGAAACTCAGAAAAAGAGCTGGGCTATTACTCTCAAGGCCTCTCTCATCACTTTCCCAGTAATGAATTTCTTTATTCTTATCTTTAAAACTTACTACTTACTTTATTATTTTCCTAGTTAGTATTATTATTCTTATAACAATATTATTAGCATAATGTTTCAAAATTTAAAAAAATAGATCTCTAAATTTAAAGCCACGGGGTCCTAAAATGTTAAATTATTTAAATAATTAAAACTGTGTAAGTCTTCATCACATCCAAGTATAGTATTTGAAAACTGTTCAAATCAGTATTGACTTAGAAGGTGCGATCAGAAACCTGGGAAGTGTCAAGAAGTCATTTCCTTCAGGAAAGTGTGTCCATATGTGGGACTGTAACTGCCTGGTCTCTGGTGCAGGGCCTCTCAGATTAGCAGAGAAATACTGAGGCTGGTGCAAAGCCATGCAATGGGGTCAGAGCTGTGTTCAGAAAGGTGATGGCAGGGGATGTGCATTCAGTAAGTCATGCATTCACTCTCCTCTCCCCCCATCAAACTGTCAATCACTGCTCCCCTTGACATCAGCATAGCTGTAGCAGCAAGGATGCCACAGTTAAGCAGTGTGCGTTGGACTATGAAGCAATTTCTCCTGAAGATTTGATGCCTCCTCAAAGAACAGAAGCCGACAAACAATCCCACCTATGACCAGAGAGGCACAGCGAGAACAAATGAGAACTCCAGTCTCTCCTGAGGCTCCGGGCTGCACCTTTAGGAACCTCCTGCCCAGGCAACAGTACAAAGCAAGGAGCCCTTGACTTTTATTTGGCTGCCAAGTATATAAACCAAAGGATTTCTTGCAAACTACTACACCCAGAAAACCAGAAACCAAGGGCGTGGTTCCTGAAAGCAACATCCAGGGTCCATTCAAATCAAAACATTTCCTCATGAAGTCAACATATTTATTATTATTTGTTTGTTTGGTTTTTACTTCAAGTGTATAAGCCAGGTTTCAATGTAAACCACTTACTGACTATCCAATTTCTTTGAAGGAATAAAAATAAATATAGTCCAAACCTCCAATTATCAGATAGTTCCACTTTGCAATGAATTAAGGTTTCTGACTATTACCACAAACTTGCTACCCTGATGTTTAAGTGATTAACTGAAGCAAACAGCTTGAATCATACATGCCTTTGCAAATGCAACTGCTGTTTGTCAGCAACATTAAAACATTACCATAAGCAGCCTCATTGCAAGTGTGCAGAATATGAACTTCAATAGTTTAACTCCCAGATTTTAAGTTTGGTTCCACATAGGTTATCCCTTTTCTTATTTGCCATTCAAAGCTTTTTTCCTGTCATTTCTCAGTTCCAGCTCAATGAAAAGACATGTAAGACCACAAACCTATGCTAAGTCATCCACATGATACCACAGAGCCAACATCCAATGGAATGCAGGAAGATTAGCAAGTTTCTCAGTATTATAAAAACTGTGCTCAGCAATTAAACTTACTCCCATTTGCCTATTTTGTCAGAAAGGAGAAACTAACTCACCAATCTGTAGCGAATGTAAGTCGAAGTTATTATTTTTAAAATACAGGCTTTAAAAGGCATGGAGCAGAATGGCAGCAACGCTGGGTTCCTCCCACCTGCCCTGGATTCTCGGGCTGCGGCCCCCTGGCAGCTCATTTTCTCTCCTTGTGGGGTTTTACTCAGTGTGCACTGCTCTCACTTCCATCTCTCCCCTGTTGCTCTTTAAAAGGAGTAAAGCAACTGTCAGAGAACGCCTGAAGACATCAAAGCCCTGCAGCCTGTGTGTGGCCCGAAGGAGAGGGGGAAACGCGGGGTAATGAGGATCTGCCTATTTACCTTCTGTGCAGGGCATGGGGACAGCAAGAGAAACTGGGCAGGGTGCGCATTTGCTCAAAAGAGAACATGGCAGCCTAATGGGAGGCCTTTGTTCTTCCAAAGGGTCTCCTTTCCCCTTTTGTGTTTCACTTAATTCATGGCATCTGAGCTGCTCTTGAACTTGACAGACTGGGAGAAAGAAAGAGAGAGGAGAGGGGGAATTGGACACACAAAGAGAAAGGGAAGGGAGGACTTCAAAGAAAATTCATTTCAAAAAAATTAGTTCTCCTGACAGTTTTGATGAAGTTTTGGAACTTTAAAGGAGTTAGAGAGGATCATTCTGTGTTGACATAAATTCAAGTTTCCCAAAGACTGCAACAAGTAACAAAGTAGATAAATAAGAACTTGTTACATATTTTTCTGCTACACTGTATTTCTTGAATAACAGCTGATACTCCACAATTACATGAAAACAGCAATATACCAGGAAGGGCCAGTAATGAAATGATTTCCCAGTTCAGGGGAACTTGACTTAATAAACACCAAGAACACTGCAAACCCACCAGCACCACCTGCAGGAGCAACGCAGATGAGCACGACACAACATATTGCAAGCCTAAGACTTTAAAAAAGAAACAGTCACAACTAACCTTTGGCATTCTCACTCTAAAGTGAAGAATTACAAACCTTTAAGGCAGTGAAGAACAAAGCCCTAGGGTTCTGTGGACAATGTCAGATATTCCTGACTACAAATACAGAACTGCTGGGAGATCTTTTGCTATGTTACCTATTAATACAAAAAAAGGCTACCTCAAAACAATGAAAGATCTGGCTATAAAGCAAGATGACTGTCCCATGGCTTCAAAATAATTTCTCTTTTTCTGATGTAAAACATAGATTCATTTAAAACAATCAAACATGTCTGAAATGTAGGAATGTACCCTACTCCCACGGTTAGCTTAGTATTTTTCTTCTAGGTCTTTCTTCTACGCATATCTGACATACATAATTTTGTGCTGGATACCATACATACTAGTTTTTGGTGTGTGTTTTTTAACACCCACCTCCCCTAATTTAATATATTTCTACCTCCTTTTATGCCAGTCCACATACATTGTTGGTAGTGTATAGTATTCTACTGGAAGGATGTACTAATGATTGGTGACCAATATGCTGTTGATAGGTATTTGGATTGTTTCTTTTTCGCTTTAAGAAATAGCTCTCTGTATATGTATCTCTGCTTACTGGCATAAATGTTTCTGAAAATTAATAGCTGCAGGTCGGATTCCTAAGTGATAGGGTACAAACATTTTTCAATCTAATAATATTATCAAATTGTTCTCCCAAAGCGTGCCAAGTTACGTTTCCAATACTACATGAGTGCCTGTGTCCCTAATCCTAGATAACATTTCAACATGTGACTCAGATGAACACTGCTTTTTAGAACTTTCCCTCATAAATACTCTCCTTCAAATTGAGAATATGAAACATTTATTCCCAATATTTACTGATGAAAATATTTTATAGAAGCAGTATATTTTTAAACTGCCTTTACAGCCGCTTATCACATTATAGTCATATTTCATTTCGTCTTACAAAAGAATTACTACCCAGCCTCATTACTCATCGCAATGTATTCAAAAGCACTGAATAGCTCCAAATCTACCCTTAGAATAACATGTGACACCAATAAGGAGATTTAAAGAATTTGCTGCAGGTCTCAAAAGCAACTGTAAAAACAGCAGGTCACATAAACAAATGAATAACCTTTTCAAAGGAACTATTTTGAACACAGAATGCTCAGTTAGATGTAGGAACATGAGCATGCATGTGTATGCCAGTTACAGTGTATTTGTTTAGAAGTACATGCAATCATTCTAATCACCTGTAGACAAGAAGTTGTAAAGGTCGTGGATGTTAACAGCATAACTGAGTCTGAGTTTGGATCCTGAGGCAGGGTTTCTCAGACTGCCCACTGACATTCTGGACTGGAGCACTTTGCTGGGTAGGAGGGCTGACCTATGCATTGCAGTATTTAGCATAAGGCCCTGAGGTGGGAGCATGACTCTGCCTTTTCCTCTGTGAAACAGAAATCACTGGACACTATGTTAAGAACAGACTGCAGGGCTGCAAGGTTGGAAGCAGAGACCAGTTCATTCATGTGAGATTTAGACCAGAGTGGGTAGTGGGGATAAGAGTGCTTGGATTTGGGATATATTGTCTCCTTAAATATGTCTTTACAAGAGGCCCGTTACACGAGATTCATGCACTAGTGGGTGGGGGGATCCCTCAGCCTGGCCTGAGCCCTCTAGCAGTTTGGGACTTCTCGCTCCTTACCACCCGCCTGCAGCAGAGGTGGGAGAGGCTCCAGCCACTGCCGCTGGACTTGCCAACGGTAAGCCCGGCTTCTGGCTGAGCGGCGCTCCCCCACTGACTACCAGGTGGCAGCTCCTGTGTTGAGCGTCTGCTCCCTGGTGGTTAGTGCACGTCATAGCAACTGGTCATTCTGCAGTTTGGTCAATTTGCATATTACGCTTTTATTATATAGGATTGATTTCAGAGAAAGGAAGGGAGAGGGAGAAAGAGATAGAAACATCAACGGTGAGCAAGAATCATCAATCAGTTGCCTCCTGTACACCCCCTACTGGGGATCAAGCCCACAACTTGGGCATGTACCTTGACAGGAATCAAACCATGACCTTGTGGTTCATAGGTTGATGCTCAACCACTGAGCCATACCAGCCAGGCTACTACCAAATGCTTTTCCTCTTGGGCCTCAGCACACTGGTCTCTGTCTGGTAGGGTTTTCTCACTGGTCAACTTGCCTATCCACTCCGGCTGGCACATCTCAGTTCTCAGCTTGAAATTCACTTCCTTAAAGAGACCTTCCTGACATGCCACTTTGACCTGGCCTCACTTCCTTCCCCCATTAATTCTCTCGAGAACCCCAAAGTACTTTTCCTTGATAGGACCCACCCCAGTTCGTAATTGTAACTTAATTCCACCGAGTGAGCAATGTCTGCCTCTCAAGACTACAGGCTATAAAGCACAGGGACCACTTCTGTTTTACTCACCATCACATCCGCAGGGGATGGCACAATGCAAGTCCCGACCAAGTACAAACAATACTTTTTGGTCGAATGAGTTTTCCTCCCAGCTCTGCCAGATACGAGCGGGTCACTGAAGTTCTGAGGACGGCAACATACTTTGAATCTCCTGACTCTGAGAAAGGGTACAGAAACCAGAGTAAAGGAGACAAGGAAAGAGGACATCGCCAGGAGTCTCAGGGCTGTTTCTCTGAGGCAGTCGGGAGTGGTGGAGAGAGAAATGAGAGAAGGCCCTGATTGCTGGGCTGTGAAATTCGGACTTTATTCAGCAGCCACAGAGCGGTGCTGAAGGCTTTCTGAGTGGTACAACGCCATCATCAGAACCATGTACCTGAAAGATTAATCTATCTGTAAAGTATAACTAATTAAAGAATCTGAATGCAAAAAATTTAATTAGAATCTAACAGGTGAACAGGGCCTCGACTAGTTTTAAAAGGTAGTTGGGCCAAAACCGGTTTGGCTCAGTGGATAGAGCGTCGGCCTGTGGACTGGGGGGTCCCGGGTTTGATTCCGGTCAAGGGCATGTACCTGGGTTGCGGGCACTTCCCCAGTTGGGGATGTGCAGGAGGCAGCTGATCGATGTTTCTCTCTCATCGATGTTTCTGGCTCTCTATCTCTCTCCCTTTCTCTCTGTAAAAAATCAATAAAATATATTTTTATAAAAAAAAAAAAAAAGGGTAGTTGGATAGGAGAAATATACACATACAGATTTTTATTACATATTAATTAATGATGATTCTTAGCATTATTTAATAACTAAATTAAGCCTTTGTTTTAGTTATGTTTATACAGAAAACAAAAATGTGATCCAACAATGGAAAATACTTCCATTTTCCCATTCATTCATTACTCACAATTCAACCAGGTTAATCTTCCAAAAGCATGGCTCAGATCATATTACTCAAAAAACTTTAGTGGCTCCCCACTGTCTACTGAACCAAGTCCAAACACCTTAGCCTGATATTTAAGACCCTACACAAACTGGCCCCAACTTACCTACTTTTACTCTCCTATTTCCTAGCCAAATTCAACTACTTTTGCTTCAAATCCAGCCAGATTTTTCTGCCTCTACCAGGCCGATTGCACATCGTTCCATCTTCCTGGAATGCAATCCCACCCTCCACTCCTAATCCACCTGTCAAAATCCTACCTTCCACTTTCAGGACCAGCTCCCCGATTCCTTCTGCTCTCGTCTCTGTCCAGCCCCTCCACATGGACACAATGCCTACACCCTCTCCTGCAGCTGCCCACTCCAGCTCTCGACCTCACTACAGTTTACCTTGAGTGACTTTTTCCTAACGATATAATTATAATAATATCATGGATCTCCCAATTAAAATCAATTATAAACAACTTTAGCCCCCCTCCTTTTATGAAACTAAGATGTAGTGAAAACAAACACTGTATTTATAATTTGTAAATTGATTTAAGAGTCTGTTTCTTTTGAGGGCAGGAACTGTTTCTGATAGTTTGTTCCTGCAATTCTTTGAACAAAACACATACTTAAACAACCGTGTTGAACAGCCAAAAATTTAAGTTGAATATAAAATTTGCCTTTGCTCAGGTCTTACTTATTGAGCTACATTAAAAGAAAGAAATCTTCAGGCACCTGAACTGCAGTTAGCTACTATGCTGACAGACAGAGGGGATGATAAAAGTAACTATAAAATACCATCCCTATCCTAAGAAGCTTACAATACTGTTAGGAACAGAAGACATATTTTAAAGGCAATCAAAAAGTAATCAAAGTGCTATCAAACACAATCAAACTCTAAATGAATGTTAGCAGAGCTGGGACAGCTAACACATGCCATGGGAGGTCCAGAGCGCAGAGACCCAAGTGGCTGGCCTGGATGAAGGGTGCTTTTCTGAAGGTGGCTAGAGGGCAAGAAGAGGCAAGATTACCCAAAGCAGCGTGCTCCCAGGTTGCTCCAACAGCCTTGTCTGCCCTTTGTAAAACCCACACATCCTGGTTTTAAAAAGAACCCCTGCAGAACACCCATCTCTGCCCTACATGTCTGTGCTCACTCCTGCACACAGCAGTCTCTACCAGTGCCCATACATTAATCCAGAAATCGGGAAACAGTCATTTTCTCTATTTCCTCACATGCAGGGTGATGGGGAAGGCGGGTGCAAAGATGACTGGTTCAGAAGCCAAATCCAATTCTAAAAACAAACCAAAAATCCATACTGTCCTGCCTGACTCATTCTAACAACTGTGTCCTTAAGCATAAGTAACTGGACAAATTTTCAACAGGTAACAGTTGACGGGAAGCCAGTCTCACTCCCGTTCAAATGTTTCAAGTTAGAGAAGTTATTTAGGAACTCATGCAAATGAAAGCATAATGGCTTTAAATTGAGGCCCTGAAGCCACCTGGACAGGGTTCATAATCCCAACTCTCAGTGGGCTTCCTCTGTGCCTCAGTTTACTCATCTCTAAACTGAAAACAAAAACAGCTAACTCATATACTGTTATGAGAACCAAATGAATCAATGCATTAAAGCCCTAGGTATAGTAACCCAGCACAGAGTAAGCAACCAAAGACCTACTACTTACTATCATCATCCAGGAAATTAAGGGCACTAATTCAGCAATAATACAATAGTAAACAAAAGGTGTCAGTTGCAAAGTGAAAACTGGACACCATTTCTATATATGAAACTAGTATTAAGTAAAACCTATGTACACATGGAAATTAAACATGGGACAGAGCTGGCCTTGCCTGAAAGCAGAAAAATGAAGAATTTCAACAATTGTTTATGGAAATCCATACACACACAAAAAGAGGTCCTGACCTCACACCATGCACAAAAATCAATTCCAAAAGATTAATGATCAAAATGTGAAAAAACAAAACCTTTAAAACTTTAAGAAAATATAAGAGAATTTGAACATGGAGAAGAGAAAATTTATTTAATAAGAGGTACAAAACATTTTTAAAAGGCTGATAAATCTAACAATATTAAAATTAAAAATGTTTGTTCATCAAGAGTCTATTTAAAAAATGCAATGACAAACCACAGACTAGGAAATGATATTAGAACATATATAACCAAGAAAGAATTAGAATCCAAAGAAGTCCTACAAATCACTGAAAGAAAAATAATCCAATAAAAAATGGGCAAGATATATTAACTGGCAATTCATAGAAGAAACACATGGCCAATATGCATATGAAAAGGTGTTTATCTCATTACTAATAAAGAAAATACAAATTAAAACCTTTAGGACAGCGGTCGCCAACTGGTGGTCCGTGAGGTTTGAAAGGTTGGCAACCGCTGGTTTAAGGAAACCTTTGGAGCAGCAGTTGCCAATGGTGGTCCGTGAAGGTCTGAAAGGTTGGCGACCGCTGCTCTAGGATATAGCACCCGTGAGACTGGCAAGGATGTGGCGTAGTGAGAACCACACTCCCAGTGAGCACGTAGAGTGATGCAGCCACTCTGGCCACTCCTAGTACAGCCTCTGATGCGACACCACTTCTAGTTCATGGACGTGCACGCACACCTTGATCATGCACTGTCTCCCTCACTCACACCTTCAGGGAACTGCAGCACACCTGCACAAGGACGTACAAATGAGATCACCCATAGCAGCACTGGGTACAGTGCCAAGAACTGGTAACAGTGGAGGAAGGAACGCATCAGCATGTGCATATAGCAAAACACTCTACAGCAGTGATAATGAACTGTATAGAGCAGTGATGGTGAACTTTTTGAGCTCGGTGTGTCAGCATTTTGAAAAATCCTAACTTAACTCTGGTGCCATGTCACATATAGAAATTTTTTGATATTTGCAACCATAGTAAAACAAAGATGTATATTTCTGATATTTATTTTATATATTTAAATGCCATTTAACAAAGAAAAATCAACCAAAAAAATGAGTTCGCGTGTCACCTCTGACACGCGTGTCATCAGTTCGCCATCTGGTCTAGAGGGTGTGCTGAACTGGCCACAATTACCCCCTTCCCTGCCTCCGGGGCACTGCGCCTTGTCTCTGCTGCTCCCTCCAGAGCTGCGTCCCTCTCATCAGGACGGCCTTGAACAGGGTGCAGCAGGGCCAGTTGGCCTTCTCCAGCTGAGCTGAAGCCTCAAGCCTTGCAGTATCCTCTTGCTCTTTTATACCCCTGCTCAGCGGCCTGGGGAACAAGATGCACTCACCTCCCACAGGCTGAAATGCAGGAGTGGGAACAAGCTGTCTCTACTACAGCATCTTAACCATCCTCAACCTCAGCCAACCCAGAGCTGGTCAAAGAGACATGAGCGAGCCTGGCCAGGGTCAGCAGAGCCATCAAGCTGACCCACAGTCTGAGGAGCAATAATAAATGTTGTTATTTAAGTCAGTTAAGTTTTGGGGGTCGTCACAAAGCAACAGATTACTGATATGGGAATGGATTAAAGCTACCCATATTAATATGAATAAATTTGACAAAGGACGTGTAAAAAGTAAGCTACACAAAACATAAACATTATCATACTATATATACGCTTTAAAAGGACATATGTATGCAGGGTGGCTCTCTCCAGGGTCAGAGGGAGGAGGTGCCATCACAAGAGGTGTCCAGGGCCTGGAGCTGTCCAGTGCGACCTCCCACAGCCCCCTACCTAATCCTGCCTATAACTCCTTCCCTGCTTTAACATTTCACCTGGGCTGATTCTACAAAAGCAGGATCTGTACTATGTTTGTCACTGCTTCCCCAGCTCCTAGAATGATCACTGGCAGAAGTTCTCATTAAAGCTCGCCAGGTAACTCAGGTGCACCCTGGACTGAGAGTCACGGCCCTAAGGGAGTAAGTGGCGTGATAGCAGTTAAGATGGCAACTGGCAAACTGCAGGCCACAGGCAACATCTGGCCTGCTGCCTGCTGCTGTATGTCCACAAGCCAGACATCATTTATACACAGAAGCACAATTAATTTGATGACACAGAACACTAACTTTGAACCCCAATTAAGCTACCCCCCCAAAAAAAAATTCTATTCTGCTCATTAGTAGACCTGATTACAAAAATATTTACTTAATTATTATAACACTAGATGCCCGGTGCACAAATTTGTGCATGGTTGGGCTCCCTCGGCCTG